ACAAACTTTTTAGCAGGGCCTGTTGTGACAGGACAAGGGGGAATGGCTTTAAACTAAAGGGGGGTAGATTTAGACTAGATATAAGGAAGAAATTTTTTACACTGAGGGTGGTGAAGCACTGGAACAGGTTGCCCAGAGAGGTGGTGGATGCCCCATCCCTGGAAACATTCAAGGTCAGGTTGGACAGGGCTCTGCTCTAGTTGAAGATGTCCCTGCCCACAGCAGGGGGGTTGGACTAGACAACCTTTAGAGGTCCCTTCCAACCCAAACTATTCTATGATTCTATGGTTCTAAGTGCTAAAAAAAATTTGCAGATGACAGAAAAATTGATGGAGCTATAGATAGTGATAAAGGAAGAGTCAGTCCTGTAAAATCATTCCAAACAGGTGACAAAATGGGTTTTGCCTGAACAATTGTGTTTTAATAGAGATGAGTATAAGGTCACACATCAAGGAATCGGGAATGTAAATCACAGTAGTAGGAAAGCAGTAAATCAAAAAGACTATAACCAACTTCAGAGTAGAACCAACTGGAAAGTGGATGACTGTGATGCAAAGGTTAAGAGTGCAAACACAGCTCTTGACTGGATGAAGAGGAGAGTACTGAGAAGAAATCGGGCAATGACATATTAGAAGAACCATTACATTCTTGTCTCCATACTGACGACACTGGAAAGTACTTCGAAAACAACTTAAGAAGTAATTCAAAATCCGTTTTATATTGTGAGACTAAAGAAAAGAATGCATTTATCCTTCAGGAGAGAATGCCTATTGTACCTTTGTTAGTAACCAGCTACATGATGCAGATAACCCTTTAAAACAATGTAGGGAAGGAAAAAGTTCAAGTAGCTGAAAGCTATCAAATTCAGGTCAGGAACAAGACGTATTGCAGCTTCAAAGCAATTTTGGTCTAGAACTTTCAGTATATAGCTTTTAAAATGTGAATTTTTAGAACTCCAAGAACAGGCGTTTTGCTTTAGGAGACTGACTGCACCAAAACTAAGTGTTAAAAGCTTGTGTTGAAAGGAACACAGCATGCACAGGGCATGGAACAGATTAGGCACCAAGCACATATCTGCACTTGGACAAGACTACATGATCCTTGCTGCTGTTAGTACCACAGCTAACTTGACTAAAACTAGCTTAGTTACTCTCTCCGTGTCTTAACTGTAGCATATGCATGTTGGCATATATGGGCACAAGCGAGCCTGATGAAAGAAGATGCCTGTGTATGGGGAAACTAAGAAAGTAAGAGCTGGGCAGCAGAAAGCTCAGAGCCACCACAAAAAAGCCCCCACCCCAAATCCCACTAAACCATCCTGCAGTACTGCCCTGCTTGGGCAAGCACTACTTGGTCTGTGAGACCATATCACAAAAGAACCACAGAGCAAGGAATAGGTATGAACTACATTTTACAAGATAAATATGGAGTATAGCATCTAAACATTTTAGAAAATAATTTAAAGAATAAAACAATTCAGGACTTCAACTCCTAGAATGATTCTGAACACTGGAGAGAAGTGACTTGGTCGTTCTGCACACATCTTAAGGTTGTTAGATGTCTTTCTAATAAACTATAGCTTGGGCTTTTACACTATACCATTTTGGACAAGCTGATTATTTTTAGCACAATAATCTGCATCAGATGTATTCCACAATAATACTTTTTAAACTACTCAGAGTGAAAGCTAGTATTATTCATCACTTGATTTCTTAAAACTTATATAATCAAAACAAGTCCTGTGTGGGCTTTTTTTGTTGGTTTTTTTTTTAAGTATTAAAGACAGTTTTTAAGTTCCACTGTATCGGAAAATTCAATGAATTATAATCACCTCAATTGCATCGTCGTACATTTTCCTTGCCTCCGTGTCCATCTTGTCTGACATAAGCCAGGCTTTCAATAAATATTCATAAAAACTGTCTCCCAGCCCGCCCACGGATGTGTGATCTGTAGGAGGGAAAGAGGAAAAAAAAAGTTGAAGTTGTTATATAATAGCACCTTAAATTTATTCAAAATATAAACTTATGTTTTTAAGGTCTACTGTTGTAGAATTATCAATATTTTAAGCCTGTTTAGCAGGACAAAGCTGCACTGCATCCCCTATCCCCTCCAAACTTACGTCATAGGCGTGGAAACCTGCTGTATGTGTTCACTATTTGTCATTCTGCACAGGCTACCCCTCATATAAAAAAAAAAGTAATTTAACCTCTGTTTTTACAGAACCTAATTGTTTTGCTGCTAGGGTTTAGGGGTTTTTAATTTTTTTTTATATGTGTAAAAACAGTATATATAAAAAACCATAAGATCTCTGTATTTAGGATGCAACCAGGTCACGTGGCTGGCTATGAACTGCCATGAACTACACAGAATCCAATCTTTCCAGGAGATTTTTATTTCCAACAAGGTAGTTACTTAACAGACTAATGAAATTCTCAAAGTAAGTGTTCTTATTTAAATTATTTCAGTCAAATGGGAGGCAAATTGCCTTTGCAGTGTACAACACAAGCCTTGCTCTGTTCCACCATGCCTGAGCAGCCATGCAGAGCCACGCCATGTGCTACAGGGAAAGGCTGCTCGACTATTAGAATCCAACACCACATAAACTGGACCTCCTAACACGCAGATCTCTTTTTTGTCGCTTTTTTTTTTTCCTCTTGCAGAGGTTGCCTTTCACAAGTAGACTCATCGCTATTCTGTGCTGACAGACCACATGAGAACTACCTACGTTTCTCTTTGGGTGAACTACCATACCTCCCCACAAAAAGCCTACTGATGGCCTGACTCAGTCTCAGAGCTCCTGTTCCAACCACAGTAAGCACTCCATCAGTACACCCTTCATTCAAAAAGCAGTACGCTCTATGAGATTTAATAAGTGACTCCAACCAGAACGGCACATAACCTTTTCTTTCCCAACGTTACAGCCCCCAAAACGCTGGCACCAGAACAGTCTTAGTCTGCTGAAGCTAGGCGAAAGAAATGTTTAAGACCAATTTTGTCACAATGCCAGAAATTCACTGCCCTAAGCATGGCTGTTATAGTCATGCAAGTTCCCTTTTACCGGGTGAAAAAAAGAAAAGATGTGATACTTCCTTTTCCAAAGTACCTCAAAAAAGTGGTATTATTCACAGTCTTTCTGGGATAAAGGTGTAAAAGAGAGGCTGGAACTCTCCTTCTGTTCCTTTTTCCTCCAAGCACCGTCCTGCCCCAGCACGTCTGCTTGTCTCTGAAGATGTGAGTAGGAGGTTAGAGCTGCTAGATGCTTCTATCCTAACTCTTCTAGCTGCCTCTTGACTCCTCTGCTACTTACCAATGGATTTCTAAACAAAGGAAGGAGCAAACAGAAAGCCTGTAGCTTTCCCATTTGGTTTCAGGTTGTGAATTTCAAGCAAATTACTTCATGCCCTTCTCTTATATCTCAGCATCTCCTAGACAGCCTTTTACACCCAGCTACTCAGTGATTTAACTACAAACAATGAGTTTTCATATGCTTTCTAGCTCTGAGCTGTAAGAGGGCATTCAGGTCACGAGTTACTTTCTTCCACAAATGCAAGGCTAGAAATTACTCCTTCAACGCACAATTACATTCTCAAGTAGACACAAGAACTAAGGGCCTGTTGTTTTCAGAAAAAAATAAATAAACCATCCCAAGACTTCAAAGTTACACCTCATGTCAGCACTACTCAAGGACTGTCTTCACAAGAGATACGGTTTAAAACTACTTCTGTTAAGCTGCTGCCTCCTCCCCAGCTGAGCTCTGTCACTTGAGTCAGCGCTGCTCCTCTGCCAGATTTCTTTGATAGATGCACTCAGTGCCCAACCAGGACAGGGTTGCTGAACCCTCAGCAGGGTTCATCTTGTAGCAGCTCCAGCTGGGTTCGGGGCAGGAAACAGCAGGAAGATGAGTGGAAAAGGTTTATTTCCTGAACAGAGAAATCTATACTCCAGGTGAGTTTCCAAAGTTGATTATCAGAAACATGCCCCATTTCACGTCTACCTCTTCAGGCAGTCATTTGAGAACTGTCTTTCTCTCCTGTCAGCAGCTCTTCTCCACCTCCACATTGCTTCTCATCTTAGATGAAAATACAGGGAATGCAGGAACCAGTAGCATTGGGACACACAGGACTCGGAGCCATCCCCTAGACAGCCTTTTTTGCACCTTCTTCATGCGTTCAGACAACAGAGCTGCAGAAGCCTCTCAGATACAGAACCTCCTCCCACTCAGCAAGCGAGAAGCAAACATGGTAAGGCTAAGGGCTTCTGAGGGCCTTGCAGCTCCCAGCAGCAGTGTTTTCTTTATTCCCATTTCGCATACCTCACTCCAAATCTCAACTGCTAGGAGTTTTCAAGGCTCCTCTCTCATTAAATAGTGGGCTCCTCCACTCCCCAGCTGATGCCTTTCACAGTTGGACCAGAGGGTAGACCTGTCAGAACGGGCAAACTGATTCTGTTCCTTCTGTTCAGGAGCAGTAAAGGGACAGATGAAGTATATTTGGTGGTCGCACATGATAAGACATCACAGACAGACCTCTTTCACACAGAAGGGAAGCAGTATTTCAAGGGGGCTGACTGCATTGAGATACAGCTGTCTTTATTTCCCTGACAGCCCTCCCCAATCTGCAAAAAATAGCCAAAAGAGGGTGGAAGTGAAAAGGAGGCCACCGCAGCAGCTGAACTGAGGTTTAAGCACAGCAAGTCTTCCAATTTCTACAGCAGCATTAACTGCCCCCTGGCAAGATCTTCAGGTCTTCTGCTAGGGTCAGAAGGTGTTGCTAAAGCAGAATTTTCTGCATTTGTGTAAGGACTATAACTAGAAATGACTGAAAATTAAAACACATTTTGTGACAGATTGCAGGACTTTGACAACTTGCTCTCACCTAGAGTGGAAATGCTAAAGAAATATTTTTCAAGATTCCTCAGCAAACATATAGCTGGTGAAAACTGTAGATTTGGGTCATCACATATCATTCTCTCCTATAAACAGAGCTCCCTACCCAAACCTATCATCAGAAGGTCCACGGTGGTTATCCCTCACTCCTGCTATTTGAGCTACAGCTCAGATGGATTCAGAGATTTAACTCAGCTCAACTCAAAATGTTTTGCTCATAAAAACATTTTGCACATAGAATATTTTGAAGTTTTTTAATCAGCCCTAAGATTGCACGTCAATCCAGAGTACTAAAGAGGAACAACTCGTGATTTGAATAACTGAGTTTACAATAGCGTCTTGGCACTGAGTACTCTTCAGTAGACAGCTGTAAAGGTATTATGTTTGAAATGTTTATAAGTATTTTGCAAATTTAAAAATGAATTTAATTTTTCACATATTTGATCTACAAGAATTATTTTATTAGCTCTATGTCATTTAAAGGTTTTTACTGTGAAGAAGTGTTTCACAGTAAAATCCTGAAGTAAAATTCTTTCCAGATTAAGACAAATATAGCAAAGAGAACAGAAGTATGAGGGCATATCAAATATGGCAGAAGCCACATATTCTGTTCAATGACATGTATACATTTTTAGAACTTTCAGTCCTTCCAATCAAGACAAATTAAGATATTTTCTTCATTCCCCATTTTTTCAAATGTAGGCCCAGAAGACTGGGCAAACATAAAAGGATTCCAGTCAAAGATTCCTTGGGAAGTCTTATTTTAAACTAAAACACATGGCAGCTGCAGTTGCAAAGAAAACCTTCGACTATTACAACCAAAAGCAATTACAAAAAGCCCTGTATTTTTTCTGGTTTGTCACACACTTGAAAGCACGTTGTGTGCAAACCTGTTTGTAGGCTTCCTCTTGCCAGAAAGAGCCAAATAAAATCTTAATAGAAAGACAATGATATTTACAGTTCATAGCAACATTTTTGCTCAGATACTTCAAAAGATTTACATTCTGTTAAATATTGGCATTTTTCTTAATAAACAGCACGCAACTGAAAAAAAACCCCAATCAATTTCATAGCAATATTTTAATGAGTTTTTAATTTATTGATAAAAGATCTATATTTAGTCAAATATTGTGTCTCAGCTAATATTCCAAAAGTCACAACCACCTCTTTCCCACAGACTGAGTGGAGGACCTTCTTTTAAATTCTCACACCATCGTTATCTAATATTTCTAAAGCTAGTTTCACTCCAAACGACCTTATTCATATCAGCAATTCATTAGCTCACTGCTGAAACAGTCTCCTCTGACGAGAGCCAGGATAATTCTTTTGCAGCAAAGCACAGAAATACATGGCAGGTCAGAAAGGAGCATACATGCTATCTAACTGAAATGACAATGAATCTCAGCTTGAGATAGGAGGCAGAGTCTGTGGCTCTCTGGTGATTTGTTCCCTGTAAGTGAAATTGGTTCTTTACAAATCTGGGGAGACAAATAAACTTGTTTTTCCTCAGCTAGCTCTTCAGGGTGTAGGCAGCAGGGTTCCCCCTCCTCAATTACAGCTGACGCACTGTGACAGATCTGGCTGTTCTTCTGCTCCAGGACTAATTGTTTGGGGATGGTAGTAGATAATAGGGATACTAGGCATTCGCATAGCTCATTCTCCTTTTTTGTACCCAGATCTACCTAATGGCTGTAAATAACTTCCTCCACAGAAAGCCAGTTTCTAAATGAACAGCAGTGGTTCCCAAGAATACCATTATGGCATCAGACTGCAAGTTACAAACATGTGCCACTTCCTTTTGTTTACAGGGTAAGTTTGGTTCAGTGAGCAATAAAGTATTTTGCACAACAACTGAAAGCCCCCTAAAGATAACATTAATAACAAAACCTGCTCTAATGAAGGTCTACCTGCTCTCTAGAGCAAACTTAAGATGTGTAAATTATTTTTAAGCAGATGGATTTAAGTAGTTAACAGCAGCTTAATGAGGCAAATTAAAAACAGTTCATTATTTTCTAAGCCCTCTCTGCTTTGTGCCTTAATTGTTCAATTGTCATTTCTTGTC